TTCATGAGGGATGGGGAAGAAGAGGAACAAAACTGGCAGAGGAGTATGTGTGAGGAGCCAAGGGAAGTGGGGTCTCTAGAAAGCAGACAGCGTCACAATTGCTCTACCTCAGAGAAGGCATAGTTTGTGATGTCACTTTCTAAATGTCAATTTGGCAGAAAGACAAGTGGATTAGATAACAGCTATTTACAGGTTTATTGAGCAATTATTGAATAAGGCCCTTTGGAAATTATAATAATTAATATTCTCAACAATGATTACAGGTAGATGCTGTGTTTTAGGTAGCTATGATGAGGAAACAGAGATTTATATCCCCAAAAGACAAAATCTTTGGCCAAAGTGAACAACCAGAAAGAGGCAAACCCAGGACCTGAGAGCAGATTTTGTCCTAAGCCCCAGGCTCTTGCTCACCTCACTGGGTTGGAGCATTCTGGATTTCCACTTGACCCTGAGTGAGCACGGGGAGGCCCCATTCTCTCCTCCATCCATAGCACCATGACCACCAAGACCTGGATTAGATCTTCCTATTCCTCTTTCCTTCCCTACCTTGAAAGGGACATTGGTTCCCAGAATCAGCATTGGCTGTGAAGCTGCAGGTGGTGGAGGAAAGGCCCTGCCTGGCTAAGTCATTCCCACAGTCGATCCCTTGATCCAGCTCTAGTCCCAAAGAAGTGGGCAACTGGGCACTTGATTCCAGATGTGTCTGTGAAGCCTGAACCTCTGACAGGTAGTAGCTCCAGTCTCCACTGCAAGTCCCTTGGGGACAGGTCTCCTGGGTGGGAGCTGAAAGGAGAAGGGGCTTCAGTAGGAACAGTCTCAGTTTTCGCATTGTTACTCTTACCCAGAACACCCATCTGCTGTCCCTGCTTCTCACTAAAGCCTTCCAGTGACCCAGGCCACACAGACAGACATCATGTAAATGCAGGCGATGTCACCTTTCCTGTCTGTGCTTGGGGAAGCTGACGTGGGCTGGAGTTCCAGGGCTAGGGTGTCCCTGAAGTGAAATATTTGCACAAAACTGCTTGCATGTGTGGGTGGCCAGAGAGAGATAATGACACCGTTGAAGGCATGTAGTTAGGAACATAATTTCAGAAAGGAGAGATTTCAGATCTTAGGAAGAATGTTTGTTGTGCAAATATATCTAGATGAGCTATTGTGGGCAAGGACTTGCTAAGAGCCCTAACCCCTTTCCAGCTTTCATGCCCACAGCCTGTTCTTATAAGAAGGAGCCAGGCGACAGAGGAGTCACTTGGGACAGGAGTAGAGGAAGTTTCACCCTCTGGATGTATGTGATCAAAACTGGATCCCTGCGCCAGATTGAAAACAGACTCAGTGTAGATGGCCTGCCTGCACTGACAGCCTGTCTCAGCAGCACAAGTTGCAGAAAGAAAACATGTGGAGGCAGCCTGGGAAGACACTGGAGATTTGTGACCTTCAGGTTGGAGTACTCACAGGCTACATCCAGAGCAGAGCATGTGAGCTGATCATCCAATGAGGACAAGGTGCTGCTATAAGGCTGGTGGCAGTAAGACGGGTCACATTGAACTGAAGGAGTCAAGTAAATTTCATCCAAGGAGTCTTCTGGGACTTCCTGCTCTTTCTCCTGCAGCAGCTCCTGGCTCAGTCTGGAGTAAAGAAGACAAAAGATGAATATTGGACAGGACCAAAACCACTGTGTCCCGCTGGTTCCATAGGGAGGACCACAGGAGAGCCCAGAGGGAGCCAATACAGTGCCTTCATAAACATCCTTCCCTGTCTCAAGCAGGAGACAGAGCGGCAGGTGCTCAGTGCACTGGGCAGACAATGAGCTGGGGAGGAAGGAGATGGACGGATCCCTGTGGGAAACTGCCAGGACACAGTGCATTCAGTGCTTCTGCATACATGTTGTTGAAACTAGCATCAGAGGCCAATTGACTACGGGCTCTTGAATCTTGACAGAAAGAGTTCCTTTATCCTCAACATCACTTGCCCTCCAAACTGTGAGCATGATATCAGCTATTTTCATTCCCTTTCCTTCTATCAAATACTTGCAAACATGGTAATGCCAAAGAGGCAGACATGAGGTGAGATCAGGAAATCCCTGAGCTTGGTCAGTTCACCTGGCTCAACTGATTGTGGGTTCCTATGCTTGAGAGGGATTAAGAAATTGAAACCCATTTAAGTACCACGATAAAGAAGACAACATTGTTAAAGGGGTAATTTGCAGTTGGATAGATGGATGCCATTGTTCTATTCATCACTTCCCATCCGATTTTCTCCTGGACCCGTGGTCTCCAGGTGTCACTATTGAGCTAACAGCCCAAAATCCACAGTTACCTGGGGGGCACTGGTGCTTCCCCTTCCTCTTCCTCCGGATCCTTTTGATTTCCTGTAAAGAAATTCAGAAGAGCAGGTCACAGTGAGCAAATCACACTTCACACAAGACCAAATCAGTGTCCAGTCATAGCACAGAGAAATCAATATCCTCAGTGTAAGAATGTGATATTCTGACAGGAAGGTTCTAATGTGCTCTAGATCAAGTCTTGTCAGAAGTAGATGAGCCTGCTTTCTAGACCCATGAGACAGAATCTCCCTCATCTAACATACATCTTAATAACGTATCCTCTGACCTCCTCTGTGCAAACAAAACTATTCCCCCATGATCTTCAAAAATGGCCCTAACTACCCTTCACAAGTATTGGTGCAATACTGATTTATCTCACCATATATCCTGGTTGATCAATTGTTAGAGAATCTTATGTTTCTTCTCGTATCAAGGTGACTGCCTAGCTAAGACAAGCCGACTCAAAGGAGACTAAGACAGGCTGAGAAGAATGAAAGCAGGAAAACAACATTGTTAAATATGTAGGCAAGACTGTCTTCGACAGTGGCCTTGGACAAGCACAGAAATCCCATGGACATTGTGCAGGGGCACAAATTACATCATTGCAGGCGACAAGAGACATAGGAACCCAGGTAAGCTGCCTCACAAATACCTCCTGTACACCTCATGTACACAGGTGGCTATGAATTTGTCCCACCTGCCTGTGGTCCAGTAACCTGAGATTGGGGCCAGGGAGAAGTGGAAAGCTCTGTGTCGCACTGACATCTGTATTATATATTCCATCCTAGAACTCCCTCCCTCCCTCCCTAATGTCAGCTCAAATGGGTCCATGAGGTGAGAACACTGAGTCCCTGGCAACTCCATCGACCTTGGCACAGGATGCTCATCTGGAGCTGAAGACAAACCTGATTCCAGGGTGATAGGGATCTCCCACCTGAGACGCAGGTTCTAATTTCGTTTTCTAAGCGGGGCTCTTTATGCTAAGTTTTGACACTTCTCATTCAGAGGAACAAGAGACAATTAAGGGTTGACTTAGTTTTGTTGCTCCAAAGCCGACTCAAGAGGAAAACCTATGTGTAAATGATG